ACCATCTCACTATAGAATCCACGTCACAATCTGATTTAACAATTAGAACAAAATTGTTTGCCACGTTTCCATTTTTGTAACGGAATGTTGACGTCATAGTCGAAAACCATATAGATCACAATATTCAAGTATTATTTAAAAAAAGATACAGAGACGAAAACCAAAATCTCGCCAATTTACAAGGACAAGTGGCATATTTAAGCCAAAAGAAAATTAAGTTATGTTATTTGACATCCTACGTGTTATTTTTAATCTTAGGTAAGTCTTAAAAATATATTTTCCTTCTCTTAATTACTTAAAGTTTTAAGGTATATTTTAATAATCTCCACCTTGACTTGAAATCATTATGATGCCAACTTACCCATCAACCACTTTGATTATCTCTGCTAATTCAATATCTAATGAACAATTTTTCTACTTCAAGCCTCGTTTGAATCTTGATCTTACCACTTGCATCCACTTGTTCCCAAGCACCTTTTTTGGTTTCAGTAGTCTAACAAGCTCATAGGTATAGTTCTTTAATCATCTTTGACTACATCTGCTTTTGAATGACTTCATATATGTCCCTGTTTTGAGTTTTGCAACCCTTCAGTCAAATTCAAAGCATAACACCCAAGACCTGTATAACTCTCCCTTTGAGATGATACAATCTCCATGCTTACCTTATCGCAAGTCAAATGATAATTATAGGCCTCTATAGCCGTTCTCTCATTATTACTATTATCCATAGTAACAACCTTCACCTCAAATTGAGCCTTCTCTGCCATAGTTTTTAAGAGCTTCATCATCGGGTCTTTACTCTTCTTTCTCTGACGGGACTCATTAAAAGTAATACATTTGCAATTGATGAACTTCAACCCTCCATATTTCACTCTCATCATCTCATAATTGTTCCTACCTTTTGGATAGCCATTTAAGAAATAGTTCACAACTTTACCATCAAAGTAGATTAAAGTCTTCCAACTCCAAACCTCCGTAAGTGTTTCAAGGTATATTCTTGTAAATGAAGACTTGTCAACCAGTTAAGTTTCTTTGGCAGCAACCTTACCCTAGAAAATAGTGACAACTAAATGGTCACATTCATTAATATCCCTTATTTTCTACAAAATTCAATAAAGTTCCCCGAAATAACTTCCAGGCATCCACCATGTCTTGACCTCAAATCACCCAACTTGTTCATGTTATGAAAGTCTTCACTAGTTAATGATCAATGAAAAAACAACATTGAAACATTCTAAAATATATAAACCACATATTTTAGACCATTTAGTTATAATCACTTCACCATGAGAAATCTTCAACATCAAATTTTTAACTCTAGTGCAATAGCCTATATCATTAAACATGCTTATAGATAAATAAAAAATTCTCGAGCTCTGAAACATACCTCGTATTATGAAGAAGAAACTCATGTTAATCAAACATATTAAGTTTTACCATACCAATACCATGGATCTTTCAAACTTTATTGTCACTAAGGAGAACTACTCCACTTTGCTCCAGTTTCAAAGTCTCAAAATATTCTTTTCTTGGACGGATGTGATAAAAGCAACCTGAGTCCATGATATAGCCCTCTTCAGTATCCAAAATTGACACCACTAATGTATCAATACTCTCATAACTATACTTATCAAAGGAAATTGCAATATAAACAAAATCATCATTGCCCATCTTCCTTAGATAATCCCTCATGAAATGGTCTTTTTTTGACAAGTGAAGTATTTTAACCTTGACTTGTCAAACCTCTTTGATTTAGACATCCTTCTATGCTCACTTACTCCTCCTGATATACTCAAGCCTTCACTATTATCATCAATCTTCGAATATTTTACTTTTGAAAATTCTTTGGATCTCACAGTCGTCTGGATTTCATACAAAGTAATAGTGTCTTTCTTACCATAAAGAAGGGTGTCTTTAAAGTGCTCAAAGGATCTGGGTAATGATCTTAATAAGATTACAATTTTGTCCTCATAATCAATCTTCACCTCAATATTCTCAAGATCATCAATAATCTTATGAAATTCAATCAACTGCTCTATTATTGATTTATTATCTACCATTCAGAATGAGTATAATTGTTGTTTAAGACACATCTTGTGAGCAAAAGACTTGGTCATATACAATAATTCAAGTTTTTCCAACATTAAAGTCGCAGTCTTCTCCATGGCGACTTCCATTAAAGATATAATTAAAAAACGCTCCATTTGAATTATTAAGAGTTCAATCACACCAAAAGACTTGATGTGTGGGGAAAAGAATAATGTCAACCAAAATAAATGGTCATCAACAAAAATTAACTCTTTATTAAATAAGACACCAATTTAACTTGGCAGAAGAAGATAAATAAAGACAATAAATATAATAACTTATTTACTCAGTTCAATCAAATAATATACTCTAGGGGATAGAGTAGCTCTCAGATTCACTATACTTCTAAGAGTTGTTACAAAAATATTACAAATGAGTCACAAGAGAATATGCACTCGAGTTCTAAAGAACAAGCCCTATATTATACCTCAAGTATTTTTCAGCCTCTCTAACTCACTATATATGAATCACACAAGCCCAAAATGTTTAGAAGTGTTTCTTAATTCTCCTTAGATATCTCAAAAGGTTTCCCAAATCCCAATAACACATTTTTAGGAATGTACTATTGCCCCTCTAAGATTATCACTAGGATTACCAAACCCTTCTCTCTGTCTTCTGTTCTAAGGTTCTGAAGGTTATGATAGAAATAGTACAAGAGATAAAAATTTATAATTGTTGATATTTAAATGATCTATATCAAGCCAAAAACTCAACCCATTAACTCTATATGTAATAAGATGACAACTTAGATTGGCAGAAGATGAAGATGAAATACAAGAAACACAATAACTTGCTTACTCAATTCAATCAAACAGTCAACTATATGAGAGATGGTATCTCTTTGATTCACTATATTTTCAAGAGTTGTTACAAAAGAATACAAATGAGTTACAAAATAATAGTCACGCAAGTTCCTAAGAACAAACCTTATTTTCTACCCCAAATGTTTCTCAATCTCTCCAACTCTCTCTATATATGAATCACACAAGCCTAATATGTATAAAAGTGTTACTTAACCCCCATTAGATATCTCTAAGGGTTTCCAGAATTCCAAGAACACACTCTTAGAAATTTACTATTGCCTCTCTAAGATTACCATTATGATTCTCAAACCCTTATCATTGTCTTAAACTCTAAATTTATGAAGGTTGTGAAGACAAGAGTGCAAGAGAAGCATATTTATAACTCCTGAAACACACCAGGTTCATAACAAGCCCAAAAACTCAAGACATTAACGAACGGATCCACAAATTGAAACGAAGAATATCAAAATACACGACCCAAGAAAAGTGATTAGGATGATCGAAAACCACAACGGCCACAAACTGACCCGAATAATCGCCTAACCATTCCTTCGCCGCACGCCACCACCAACTGCCTTCCTGTCGAAGCTCCTCCATGTATCCCCGACCCCAAGCCCCAACCATCGAACTTCCACCTTGCGACTTTAGCATTGTTATCTAACTCACTGACGGTTGTCGCCACCGCAGCTTTCGTACTCTTGTGTATCATCTGTAATGCCCCTGATTGCTTTCAAGATTATTGACTGACCCCACAAACCAACACATGTCATTTTAGTATGCTTTTTCCTCACTCACACACTTTCCGAGAAATTTTCCAGAAGGTCACCCATCTAAATACTACAAGTTAAACACATTTAACTATGAAATTCTTATCTGTTAGACTACCGAAAAGAGGATGCGTCTTTTTGGTATAAGTAATATCAATCAATCTTTATAACCATTCATTCAACCTTGTAGTCTCATCCTTGCACAGCCTTAAGATCCCTCTCATTCTGATGTGAATTCGACGACCACTCCTCGCCCTTTTTAACCTCGGGTGTTAGATGTGTTGCAACCACTTTGCACCCTCTTCGACCTCGAGTATTACATCATCACCACCGCAGCTCCAACATTGCAGTCTGTTATCACCAGTGACTCTGGAACCATCTTCCACTGCTTCTAACCCCTCCATTGATGCCTTCTACCACCACTGATTTCCAATGGCGAGAGTCTCATACCACCTCTCTGAACTCCCTACCAACGATTTTGACGCCTTATATCGACCTTCTAGTTAGTTTTATTGCTTTTTTAGTTTTTACAATTTCGAAATTGTTTTCTTTCTCTTCATTATTTAAGGTTTTAAGACATACATATTGAAACATTTAATATAGACAAAAATATGAGACAAGCAATACATTTGATTAGGGTTGACTCAACTAATGTAGATGTCTAAAGTATGATTTAAAATTAGATTTTTGCAAAATTATAGAGAAAATGTTTTTTAAAATCTAATTAATTTTTGCTATAATAAATAATACAAAATAAATATTAAATATTTTTTTGGTATAAAAATAAATATTAGTAATAAAATTAATTATGTATTTATCGTACAGGTTTATTAATTAATTTATTCTAACATATAGAACTTGTGCTTGTTTTCGGATATGATTCAACTTTGATTTAATAATCAATACCTAAAAGTTTGGTATTCTTGTAATAGCCTTCCTTACAAGGAATTGTTGTGGTGACAACTACAACAAATTAGAATCGGTATCTATATAATGCCTGTAATCCATTCAAGTTGGCTTAGAATCTCTCATCTCCTGACTATACAAGATATCTAAAAATATTTTATCAATATTTCCTAATATGAGTTGTGCAATACTAAAACTAAAAGATACATGAAGTTTTTATTCTATTTTATTAAAATGAAGTATCTAATTCCCCTAATAAGAATCCTCACAAACAATCTTGTGGTCGTAGACAAAATTAAATGCTCAATAATTTCGAGATATGCCATAATCTGAACGTGACCAAACTTTCACTCACAAAATGTTTATATAACCCTCTTACAAACTCTTCTCCATAACTCACTCTTGGTTTTCTACTTTTAACATTTGTTTCTTCATAATGTCTAATATTGCTGCCAATCATCTTCTCTATCTCAGGTTAGAAACAATACTTTTCCTTACTTCTTGTTTTGTCTCGTTGACATGGCAACAAAACACTTACATACGGATACTTGCCTGAATTCACCTTGAGTTTGAAGGAAAAAATCTGATTTGACTGAGTTAAAATTTGAGTTAAAATTTTCTCCAACTTTAAAAATCAATACGAAACGGGATAACGAAAATACTAATACCGCTCCCAAATCCACCCCATTGATAATTGCAAATATTTCATTTTGATATTTTATAATAGAGAAAAGTAATGCAATGACATTGTAAAATTATTTTACAATTCAATCAATCATAATCATATATCCAATTATATTCCACTTTTATTTTTAAAAAAATTTTAAAAAAAATTAATAACATGGTAGATTATCTATTTCCTATTGGTTGTATGTGTAAAAAAGATTTATCCATGGATATTATTCTCTTTATAATATTAATTGTTTTGTTAGTTCATTTTGAGTTAAATTATTTATCTGCATTGTATTTAATTGAGATTAGAGTTTGAATACGGGCAAAGCAAAATTCATCTTCGGCCCGCTCCATTGTCAATGCCTACTTGATGTGGTTATTTCTTTCAATTTATTTCCCCCTTTACGTGCTTATTAAATTTTGGAAGAATGGTGCAGAAAGCAATCCTATGCAGTTGTAGCAAAAAGTTTAAGGATGCAACTGGCAAATACTAATGTGGAGGTGGTGAAGGCAAATGTGGGGAATGAATCAAGTTCAGTGGGCAATAAAGATGGAACAATCTTTTGGATGAAAGATCCTAAGACTGGAAACTGGATTCCAGAGAATCACTTTGGGGAAGTTGATGCTGCAGACCTCAGAAATAAGTTTCTTCCAAAAAGATCAAGAAACCAGTGAAAAAAATCACTAGTACCATAAACCCTATTGTATCAGTTAAATAAATTTTATCAAGATGATGTTTTATATGTAACATATTGCTCTTTACTTTCCTTAGGAGTAAATAAGATTTCCAACATCAACTTTCATAAGAATAAGTTTGGAATTCATGAATCACATAAATTCAACAACAACAATTAAGCTTTAACCTACTAGGTGAAGTCAGCTACATAGATCAACTTTCGTCATAATGTTCTATCAAAGATCTTGCTTCTATCCATCCAAATCAGAATCACATACATTCAATACTAAAATTTTTTTAACTCAATTAGAGTATTGCATCAAAAAAAGCAACTCGATGTCCTCAAGGAAAACCTACAAGATAAGAAATGAGAAGCAGATACACTAAAATATGAACTGAACAACATCAGTTGTAGTATGTAGCGAGAGATGTATGCATGGTAAACCATCTGGCGGAAAGGGTCAGTCCTACATAAACCACAATTTAAACTGCGGCTGGAAGAAGAATTTGCATTTAGTGTCTAACAGTATCTTGAACAGAATTTTCTCTTACGATTACATGGAAACCAAAATTGGATGCATGGTAATAGTGATAAGCAAATAACCAAAGGGAATGCAATTATATGATTTGAACTTGCAGTCCTTGCACTTCTTAGAAACTAGACCTAACAAATACAATAGAAACTCTCCCCGGTGATAGTGATACTGTACTTGTATTACAAAATCGTTTCATAAGAGAAACTATCTTTAAGTGAGGCCAACATTATATGAGGATGATTATAAGTATAGCTGGATGAGTTCATCACTAACAACTGATGGAGTAAGAACGCCTAAATCTGTGAAAAGCAAAGTCAGATACTGAGGAGGAGTATAATCCCGGGCAGAGCATTCAACCTCAACCTTAGATGGAATAGGTACACCGAAATCAACTGGTCGTAGGGCGGGTGCCAAATCCTTTTGGTCGAGAGGGTAATGACGGGCAAACTGCAGAGTAACACATACAAAACAAGTAATTATAAGACCCTAGATTTTCCATTGTTCCTTTTTCTAGGACATCATTCATTTTTCAACTTCCTTAATTCTCGTGATTTAGTTAACAAGGTTCTATATTTAAGAACAGAGGAAGCAACAACTAAAATATTAGATTGATAATTGTAAGTAAGTCAAACGCACCTTGTAGCTTTCAGCAGCCACATAAACTGGCTTATTCATACTCTTTGCAACCAACGCAATTTGGTACGTTCCCATCATATTAATTATACCACCACTTTCAACAACTCCATCTGCCCCGACAAATACCATGTCCACATCATCCATGGTATAAGCCACTGCAGAGTCTATCACAAGTTTCACGGGTACATCAAGCTTGGCCAGCTCATTGGACAGCCTTAAACCTGTTCGATCTGGTCTCCCCTCTGCAAAGTTAGGTAAAACCATTACAAAGTTTGAATCTCTAATTGGTAACAAAGAAAATGTTAGAATATAAGAAACTACCTAATAATATCTTGATAGTATGTTAGAGTATCTACGTTTATCTTGTAAGGTGAGTTTCTTATCTTAGAATATCTCCTAAGAACAGTTTCCATGTTACTTAATATTTATCATGATTGGTCTCCTGATTTTGTTTATTTGTTTATTTAGGACTAGGAGTCTTGTATCCCTATAATAATGGAATAGTGTTTACCATATTACATCATAATCATATTTCTTCTTCTTTCATCATAAACAGAAAACAATGAATGAAGAGACAAATTCCCCATAGAGGGGAGACCATGTGACGTTAAGAAATAAATGAGAGAAGACTTATTGCATGATCAAATTAACAGGGCAATACAATTAAGAAATATAGCCCCAATTATCCTCCACAATGCTTCTACCGTTGGAAAGAATATTCTTACACTGCTACCTGGAGAAAATAGATCAATTACCATGAAACTAATGTTAGGAAGTCGGTGAGAACTTAAAAATGAAAGAAGTCTCGATTAATGAGCTCGATCCTACATCTTGATACAAAGTCATAAGACATAGGGTCTGTTTGGGAGGGGGAATTTTGGAAGCGAGAGGAGGACTTATTATTCTTTTCTAAGTTAACTAGTTAAGCAAGCTATAAAACGTTTCAAAGAAAAAATGGAGTGCAATTGAATTGTTATATGATCAAATATCATGGTATTTTTTCAATTTTTTTAAAACTCAAATATATATTAAAATATAGACGCAGCGCTTCAAAACCTTCCATAATCCCCCTTCCTGTTAAGAGAAAGAGAAGAGAGAGATGAAGAAATCTGTTATCGTATTCCATTCACACAAATAACAGCACAAGGCATCCCTATATATAAGGGGGATAAAAGGCTAGGCACTAACAAACCCTATGCCAGCTGTACAAAGTAAATTACAGAAAAGGACCCCTATAATAAGCAATATGTATATATCTCTAATAGTCCCCCTTAGAAACTGAGGGTGATTCCAGTAACTGTCTTTTGTTGACAACTCTGAGTATGTCCCTCAGAGGAAGAAACTTCAGAGCAGAAAGAGGTTTTGTCAGTCCATCTGCCCACTGATCCTGGGCAGGCACATGAGCCACAGTTAAGCTTTTATTTAGGACTTTCTCTCTCACAAAAAAGATGTCTAATTCCATGTGCTTAGTTCTGTTATGAAGCACAGGATTGTGAGCTAAAGTTACTGTGCTTAGGTTGTCACAGAATTCTAGGAATCTGAAATCTGCATTGAAGTTCATGAAGAAGAGATTCAATCCACAACAATTCTGCAGCCAGTTGAGCCATGCTTCTATACTCTGCCTTAGCACTGGACCTAGCTACCAACTGCTGCTTCTTAGACCACCAGGAAATTAGGTTAGGACCCAAGAAAACACAAGCACCTGATGTGGATCTTCTATCATCTGGGTCTGCTGCCCAGTCAGCATCACAGAAGCCCCAGCAGGGATAAAGGCTGATGTTTGGGAGCAGGCTGAATTAACAAGCCATGATTTAGTGTGCCACTGAGATACCTGAGTATTCTTTTAACTGTTTTCCAATGCTCCTCCAAAGGATTTGACAAGAACTGGCACACTTTGTTAACAGAAAAGGACAGCTCAGGCCTAGTTAAGGTAGGCATACTGCAGGGCACCAACAATAGATCTGTACTGTGTAGGATCAGCAACAGTAACAGAACCAAACTTAGTCAATTTTCTGCTAGACACCATAGCGGTAGGCATGCCATTAGCAGTAGCCATGTTAATCTTTGCAAGTAAATCAGTAATATACTTGGTTTGTGAGAGAATAAGAGATCCATTTGGCATATGGGTGGACCTCAATCCCAAGAAAGTAGTCTAGTTGCCCTAGGTCTTTGAGAGCAAACTGACTATTGAGACTTTTGACTAGGCTGGCAATAAAGGATGGTGAATTTCCAGTGATGATTATATCATCCACATAAACCAGAATCAGAATGGTTAAACTGTCACTGTGGAAGAAGAATAGACTGGGATCACATTTACTTGCCTTGAACCCATGCTGCACCAGAGAACTCTTAAGTCTGTCAAAACAGGCCCTGGGGGCCTGTTTTAGCCCATACAGTGCTTTATTCAACTTGCAAACCAATGACCTATCAGCTGCTTCAAACCCAGGAGGTTGAATCATGTATACCTCTTCCTCAAGCACACCATTGAGAAAAGCATTATTAACATCAATCTGCTGAATTGACCATTGATTAGTAACTGCAAGTGTGAGCACTGTTCTAACTGTTACAGGTTTGACAACTGGAGAAAAAGTCTCAGTATAGTCACTGCCAACCTGCTGATGGAATCCTTTGGCAACCAGTCTTGCCTTGTATCTATTAATGGATCCATCAGGGTTCTCCTTAACCCTAAAGACCGATTTGCAGCCAATGGGCCTTTTAGAATCAGATGGAGACACCAATGTCCATGTCTGATTCTTCAAAAGAGCATGATACTCATCCTGTATAGCTTGAAACCAGTGTGGGATAGTCAAGGCTTGTTTAACAGATGTGGGTTCCATATGAGTGAGAAGAAGTGTAGGATTGAGTCTAAGCTTGACAATACCACTCTTAGCTCTAGTTTGCATAGAGTGAACATTTTGAGGATAGTGAAGAGGAGGGATAGAGGCAGGACTAGCAGTAGAATCAGATTGAGGTAAGGAAGAGGGAGAGATAGTACTTGCTTCTGCTAGATCAGAAAAAATAGAGTTAGGTAAGGGTGAACTAGGCTGAGGTGAGGATATAGGAGGGGAAACACTGGAAGTAGCAGCAGTAGTAGCTGGAGAGTTAGCAAACTCATGCAGAGAATGTCCAGCAGAGGAAGAGCTAGCAGAAGAAATGGGTAAGGATGGACTGTTTGAAGGAGTAACAGGAGAACTGATATGATTTAAGGGAGGGATGTGATGGACAGTAGTGGAGGGAAACCAGGACATGGCTGAGGGAGCATTAGAGGAAGTGCTGGAGGAGGAATTAGAAGGAATATGGGAGTTGGAAAAAAGGTTAGAATAGGGAAATCTAGACTCGTGAAACATCACATCTTTAGAAATAAAGATATGTCCATCTGCTGCCAAACATTTATATCCTTTACGGACAGTGGAGTAACCTAAAAATACACACTCCTGAGATCTAAAGGCTAGCTTGTGTGAATTATATGGACGAAGAAAGGGGAAGCAAGCACACCCAAACACACGGAGACTAGAATAATCTGGGGACTGATGCAGCAATTTGAAATAGGGAGACTCGTTTTCGAGGGAAGGACTAGGCAGCCTATTGATAAGATAGGCTGCGGTGACGAAGGCATGGTCCCAATATTTAAGAGGCATTTTGGAATGAGCAAGCAATGCTAGAGCCGTTTCAACTATGTGACGGTGTTTACGCTCAACTATACCATTCTGGTGGTGAGTATAGGGGCAGTAAACCTGTGGACGATGCCTAATTCAGTAAGGTGTTTTGTGAGGGGTTTGAATTCACCACCACCATCACTCCAAACAGTTTTAATTTTGCAATTAAACTGAAGTTCTACCATAGATTGAAGTGAAGAAATTGGGTGAGAGTGTCAGATTTCAGCCTAAGGGGTAACACCCAGACAAATCTAGAATGTGCATCAACACAGGTGAGAAAATAGGAGTAGCTGCCTGACGAAAGAGTAGGTGCAGGACCCCATAGGTCACACAAAACCAGTTCAAAAGGGTGATAATAGACTGTGTTGGACAGAGATGAGGGGAGTCTGTGAGATTTGCCAAGACAGCAGTCAGAACAGAGATCAAGGGAAGGTTTGTGGGGGATAGGAATATTGCAGGTCTTAAGAACTTCTGTGAGGACATAATGATGAGGGTGACCAAGTCTTGTATGCCATAGAGCATACTTGCTGGTGGCTATAGGAGAATGACAAAGCATGGCGGGATTTATGTTAGGGATATTAGAGGGAGACATTAGCATTAGAATTAAATGCACTGTGAGAATTAGGAGTATTTTTATTTATATAAGAAGCAGAATTACAAGGAAACCAGTTGCAAGTAGCAGCTGTATTACAAGAGAAATTAGAGTTTGAGCTAAGCCTATTACAAGAACTAGGGCTAAGAGACTTAGACAGAGACGAGGCAGGATTGACAAATCTGTAGAGTCCATCAGCTCCAACAGTGCCACGAAGAAGAACTTCAGAAGAATCCTGCGATTTTACAAGGCAAAATTGAGGATGAAATTCAAAGAAAACATGATTGTCTTGTGCAAACTTGCTGACACTCATAAGATTCTTGGTGATATGCGGAACAAGCAGAAGGTTATCTAAGATTAGGGATGCATTGGAATGGGTAGACAAAGGAAATTTCATGGATCCTACAGAACTTATAAACAAACCTTGACCATTTCCCATAAACACCTGTTCTGCACTAGACAAGGAGGAAGCATCAGATACATTTGAAGCATCAGGTGTAACATGGTGAGACGCACCTGAATCAGGGTACCACCACTGATTGTTGAAGTTAGGGTCAGATCCTGCTAGAAACGCCTGTGGTTGCTGCTGCCTGGGTGGTGTTGGCCGTGGAATAGGAGGATATCCAAAGGATGAATGGAAAGAGGGACGTGGAGCCATTGTGTTAGGATTGAAGGGAGCTCGTGGAGCTGAGCATGAAGGAGCTCCAGAGTAAGTGTAACGATGATAGCACACAGAGGCATCATGTCCAGGTTTGTGGCAAATCTGACATGAAACCTTGCCAAAACGGCCACCACCGCGACCATAACGACCACCGCCACGGCCATATCTGCCTCCACGAGAGCTAGTGCTATGATTTTCAGCAGTGGCAGTCACATGACTGGTACCAGTGGGAAATTCAGAGTTGGAATCAGAATTTGAGTGCTCAGTGGAGTGCAACACTGAAGACAGTGGAGCTTGAGCCATATTGACAGATACCGGTTCAGTAATCACAGCCTTGCGATGCTTCTCAAGTCGCGATTCATGCGCAAGGAGACTGGACTCAAGTTCATCAAGAGAGCACAGATCGTCTTTCTTGTTAATCGCAGCAACAATGGGATCGTAATCCTCAGGAAGAGCATCGAGAACGACCTCAATGAGATTACGGAGAGGAACTGGATCTCCGATTGACACCGCCTCGCTGATGTCACGAATGTGAACCACGAACTCAGCAATGGAACGCGAACCTTTCTTCAGGTTGCGAAGATCGGATCGCAACTGTCACGCCTTGTGGTGAGCAGAGTATTGAAGTAACGGTGAATTTCTGACCATACTTGCCACGAATACGTGCAGTCGACGAGTTTCGGAAGAAGAGAATCGGAAACCGTGGAGAGTAGCCAGGTGCAGATAAGTGCATCCTGCTGTTCCCACTCCAGATAATCTGGATTTGCACCGCCGGTGACTGGATCGGCGCCGGGAAGAAGACGCTGTGGAACGCACGGTACAGTGACGAACCGTTGAAGACGATGACCACGAATAACGCCTTCGATTTGCCGTTTCCACTGTTTGAAATTCTTCTCATCTAATTTGACGGAGATGAGATGTGAGAGTTTCACATGAGATGAAGAAAAAGCACCGTCAGTGCTGAAAGGCGATGCCATGGAAGCGCTTAGGTCGGAAAAAAAAGAGCTCAAGATACCATGTTAAGAGAAAGAGAAGAGAGAGATGAAGAAATCTGTTATCGTATTTCATTCACACAAATAACAGTACAAGGCATCCCTATATATAAGGGAGATAAAAGGCTAGGCACTAACAAACCCTATGCCAGCTGTACAAAGTAAATTACAGAAAAGGACCCCTATAATAAGCAATATGTATATATCTCTAATACTTCCAAACAGACCCGAAGGACTTGTTAGGGAGTTGAAAGGGGAAGGGATGGGAAGGGTTTGAGAAGGATGGGAAGGGCTTGAGAGGGATGGGAGAAGGAAAGAAAAGAAAAGGGGAAGGGAAGGGAGAGTTTTGAAAAATTCCTCAAATCCTTTCCGTCTTTTTATAATACAATGGACACGTTATATTAGTAGTACGCCTCCTTCCCCTTCAAAAACATTCACCCAGTCTCCCAAACTATGTTAAGGAGGGATGTCTCTCCCCTCCTCCCCCACAGCCCTCTCCTTATTTCCTTTTCCACTTCTTAAAAAAATGCCTAAATATGAGTCTAGTCACTTGGATAGCTGTATCATCCTCACTTAACCCATTCCTAACAAACAGTGATTTATCACATTAACTGCATGTTTGGTTTACAAGCAAACATAATTTTATCCACAGGCTTGTTTAAAACATAAGTTTAGTAGAAGTAAGAAAATTTTGGTTTTTCACTAGACCAAACTACGATTTGTAAGCCATTATCAAAACAAGTTATAAATGTGAACCAAACATTTTGGGACATATCCTAATATACTAACATATACTCAAGAGTTAGACAGAAAGAAAAAAACCTGTGCAGAAGACCCGAAAATGTTTCTTATTATGTGCAGCCAGTTTAAGAACTTCAAAGACAACTCTAGAAAAACCATGAACCAAAATGGTACAACCATCAAATATAAAATCTTGACTAAGCATTCCAATAACCTTGCGAGCCTGCAAAAACAAAACAAACAAATAAAATAACCAATCACACCCACATAATTAAGAAAGATTTAGCTAACAGCACAACCAACCACACACAAACAAACCTTGTAGGAGATTTCCCCAAACTTGTCAGCACGCTCAATCAAACGAGCTTTTGCAGAATTGAAGTCTTCAAATTCCAAAGCAGATGTTCTTGTAACGTATCTCATAAACAGATCAGATGCTGCTGTCAATGAGATAGAGGTTGTATCCCATGCCTGTCAATCAATTAATGTTAGATTAAACCCACATAGCAAATTCATCACAAAACTCAATCAAATACATAAAACAAATAAAAACTACCATTTCCTATTTTTCACCATTAACATTATTTATTTCCATATCTCATTTAGGGTACATTTAACTAACTAAAGGGTTTATCACGCAAGGGCTTATATGAAGCTACTTTTGTAATCAAAACAAATACAAAATTTGGTTAAAGTAATGTTTTTATAAACTATCCCGAAAAGCTTGTTAAAATACGCCAAAAATAGATTATGATTATATCATAAACAACGTAGCATCTACACTTAAAATTGAAAATGTGTCCAGTGTCCAACAAGTATAACTGTTTGAAATCATCACAACTACATACGATCAGTAATATTTTCTTAAATGGTTTTCAGTGTCGACATGTCAGCATCAAAATTGTGTCTTTTTGTGTCAATACTTCCCATAAGCAATTTCTATAACCTCTCTAAAAAACAATTCAATATGAAATTAAACTATTCAATAAGTTCAATTAAACTATTCAAAAACTGTTCCAAACCAAACCAAACAAACTCATAGTTTATACAAATTTATTGGGTGATGGAATGGTTTCAGTATGAAACTAAGATTAAAATGGTTTCATCATGAAATTAAATTAACGAAAAAAAAAAACTAAAGGAATAAAGGAAATAAAAAAGCATACTTTGAGGGTATCAGAGGCGTTTTTGAGTTCGATTTCAAGCTGCATCATAGTGGAAGCTTTACTGGAGCTGATAACGGCAGCGAGGGCACGAATAGCGGCGACAGCCTCGGCCAAATCGGGATGATTACGCCACCTATTGAATTCATCAATTACAGAAAAATTGGCATCTTTATCAGTGGATGTGTCGGTTGATGATGATGGGATTGGTTTCGTTGCAGACTGAGCCTGAGCTAGCCACTCGGTGCTGACGACGCCGAAGTGTGCTAGCCTGGTTTGATAGTATGCTGAGATTTTGGGATTCTCCATTGATGGACCTTCACCTTCCATGCAGTTGGGTGAAATCCCTAATTCCTGTGTTCCTTTTTGAAATTTAAATTTATTTTCTATAAAAAAATTAACCTATCATGAAGTCAAATGATAATATTCCATTATTCCTTTAAGAAAAAGTTTTTTTTTTAATTTATCGAAGAATTAATGTTGTCAAATTACTCTAGATGCATTGATTTTTAATGAATCTATAAAGTAGTTTTTTATATATATATACTAAAAAAAGTGAAAAACATAAATTATTTAACTTGTGGTTTTTTTGAAATAAAATTATTAGAAAAAACGTAAAAACAATTGTAATTGGTTGTTGATTATAAAAAAGATGAGAGAGAATGTAAACTAAATGTAATCTGTATTTAATTTTATTTAAAAAAAAGACGAAAGTTGGTTTTTTTTTTTTCTTTTATATTTTGAGATGGGAAAAACACTTTATTATCGTATTAATTTTAGAGAACTCAATTTTCATACTGAAAATATACATTTAAAAAATACATTTAGTATGCCATAATAACCGAAGAGTGGTGTGGGAATAACATATTCAATTATTTTAAGATGTTGATGCTTCTATTGGGAATCTCTGTTTTACAAAAGAAGTTAGAGTTATTAGAGAGTGTATTTCAAAAGTTACTTGGTGTAGTAATTTAAAATTGTTAAGTTTGTTGTGTGATTTGCATAACAAGTGAAAAGTTGTTGGTCGTTTTACTTTAAAGTTTAGCTTGTGAATCTCAAGTGAATAAGGATTTGATCATATCTCAATCTCTTCCGTTCCTTTAAACCTTTTGTAAATTGCTATATCAAATTGGCATCTAGAGTTTGGTTCCATAATTGATAATTCTCATTATCAAACTCACAATGGCACGTTTCTTGGAAACCTACTAGTTCTTGATGGGAAAAACTATGATTAATAAATTGTAAAGATGAAAGTGATATATTCCAAAATGTGGTTATATAAGCTGGGAAAAACTATGATCAATGTCCCTATACTTCAAAGGGATCTCATTGATGCATAAGCTGTTGAACACAAAGATACAAAGAAGGAGGAAGGAAAAAACTTTGTTCTTGATACATGCATTGTGAAAGTGAAAAAAAGATGTGGGATGAATTGGAGGATGTTTATGTTAGAGATGAGAGGTTAAAGAAGGTAACGTCACAAGCTTTGAGGGTGCAATTTGAACAACACCCTGGTGAAGGATCTAGCATTAATCAAGAATACTATTCACGTGAAGGGAAGGCTAAAGTTGGTTCAAGAAGGACATCTAGTGCTACAATTGTCAGTAGTGGTGCCACTTTTCGGATGAATGCCACTCAAAGAAGGTTCCAATAGACAAAACAAACAAGTTTCAATTTGCTCATGATGATTCTGACTCTGATGAATTTCGGTTAATGGCAACAGTTAAAAGTGAAGATGAAGATAGAGACAAGTGGTACATTTACACAAGATGCTCAAATCATATGAACAAATATAACAAAAGGCCCTAACAACTCGTTTTAAAGTGATTCTCACAAAACACTGGACATAAATTGTGGTGGAAGATTACTAAATAAACAAATATTTCAATCCTCGTCACAAAATTCATCTCCCTGTAATTCCGGTCCATCTTAAGCCTTACATTGAAAACTTAATGTGTTACAAATAATAATACATAAAGAATATGTAAGCTAAATTGAAACAAAAATAATATAGGAAGAAAAGCAAAATGTAGAACTGCATCTACCTGCCTTAAAAAGCTATGACTTGTGACAAACTACAGCAGTGCAGGATAAATCACTGTCTATACTCCACAAATTCAACTCCTCAAGCCGCTTCTGAATCGAATCTGGCTCCATCTCAGTCGACCAAAACACCAACTTTTTATCCACTAGAGAAGATTTACTTACGCTACCTGACTCAATCTTCATGCCAAAAGAAGTCTCATCAGCTTTTCTAATACTTGCACCATTCTGTTCCAATAATTTTGATACAATATACACAAAACTTACGCTGCCTTGGGTTGATGAGTCTTTTCTCCCCAAAGAGTCTGTCATGGCTACAACTTTTGACACAAAGCCATTAGTCCAGGTTTTTTCACTAGACGATGAGCTTTTAGCATAGAAGAGTTCCAAGTTGTTTGCAACACAGAAGTCATCTTTGAGATCTCTAGTTTCGAGCAATATGTCAGAAGTGAGAAGCATGCTCCCATCCAAAACCCATGTGTTATACTTATTTTCAATCAACTTTTTAATTACATAAGCCTTTGCAACAATACCCTTGATAGTCTCAAAACTCGAACCTTGGGAAGTCAATTTATTTGTTCCAATACTACTTACAAATTGGTCTACATCGATTACAGGATGTCCCCTTCTTGACAGATCAAATAAGGAATCAGACGGATGGCCCATAAGTATATAATTTCTTATATTTAACCTCTCAAAGTGGCATAGTAGGTTTCTTACTACAGCATCAGATATCCCTAAAATATTTACTAAGAATATACTATCCTGTTTCGGCAGAGAGTGAAGCAAAGCTCCAAGTTCTTCGAAGTTCCTCATAAACCTTCCTGGACGTACTTCTCTGAAACAAAAGTCAAACCATTTCAAGCTGCTCAAAGGCTGCATTTCCAAAATATTGAAGTCTAGTGATCTTTCCTTCAGTAACTGAGAATCAGGTCCAGCAGTTTTCCCGTAGTTAACTCCAGCATCTCTGTGAGAGACACTCAATGCTCTTTCATGCAAAAAATTTGCATAGATGTTAAAGTAACTGCGGGATTGAATAAACTTGATGAACCAAGGTGTCCATATTCTCTCCCCCATTTTCTTATACCAACCTGTAGTCACCTGTACAATTTTTCAGAACTAAAATTAGGAATGAACTGAACAGCTGATGTATGCCTGAGAAGCAAACAAGAGTGAAGAGCAAGAAACTTTTTTTTATTACCATCCCCTCAAGAAATGGTTTATTGCCCTTTGCCTTGTTTTTGTCATACCACAACCTGAACTCTTTCCATGGCTTTGGAAAGAGAATTTGTCCCCATGTACCAACCAACTGGTATAAGAAAAGTCGTGTCTTGTCATCCAACTGCAACTTGTTGCCGTGTTTACCTGCAACCAGAAACCAATTATATTATCACTAAACTGTACACAAATTCACAAAGTCATGAAGTTCAGTACAATTATAAAGGCAGCATTAATTACATATGAATGAGTAACACAAATAACACAAAAAAGGATTCAACTTAGTGGCGCTTTAGTTACGACTGGATCAGAATAAACAAGCATAGCATCATAGTTTAAAATTCACAAATCACAAGGTATGTTCACAACACAGCACACAAGAAAACATAAGTTACATAACAAGTTCAAAAGCAATAGACATATTGACAAATCATGAGAAGATTCAAAATTAATAACGCGTAAAGGATGGTCGGACTGGGCTCCCCTTGTTGGAGCTGGATTCAGCTCATTAGATTTGGGTTCATTTACCTCATTGACCTATTGTGTCCATTGCAAGCTTACAAGTTACAACAACAGGGTTGTTCTTGTTCAAGTTTTCTGGTGCCTAACTTTGTTAATCTTAGGAGCTATGAGATTGAGGGTTCACATTGTGGTGTTAGATGTATCTATGAGTTCAACTTTCATGAGCTACAACTGTGAAGTTAGTGTCTACTGTCTAGTGCACTAAGAAGCTTGATATTTCAGCAGCCGGTGCATCATTAAAACACAGAATTATTGTTTTTTTTGGGAAAACTAATAATTACATAGTAGCCTCATTTAATCATCCTCAAACTTGCAAATCTATGCAAGTCAAAACGAGTTGATGCAAGTATACCGAAGTCCAAAACACAAACAACTTTTAAGCAAGTTAACTTAATTTTGATACCTAAAATTGTAGACTTGTTTGATTTTGGGTTAACTTGAGAGTATGACGACAATTACAACAAGGTCATTAACACAGAAAACCCCATATTCTCTTGTCCATTAAAAGACCTGCTTCTCATAATACCAAGTCCTACAAAAGACTCATCAACACACAATCTAACTGTCACTACAACAGAGAATCATAGTACCCAACACTTGGGAAACAGTAGGTATTTGCAGTTTCCTTCCTTCATATACCATTACCAAAACTGACAAATAACAATGTAACAACTCCGGCTAAGTAATTCACTTCAAATATCAGACAAACAATAACCAATAATCTAAGCATACATTATACATCAAATTTACTCACAAATACAAGCATCCGTGAAAACCACTCATATTCTATCTCTCTCACTAATAGCATAGGCAACAAACAACATATTATGCTAAACAGTGAATTACTCCCTAACCATATTCATCCGACATTTAATCTCTGTTAGCTATCAACAACCAAGTGGTATATTTTAAAGCAAAAGTAAAGGACAATCTTACAACAACAACAACACAACCAAACATTATCTCAGTAAATGGGGTCGGCTACATGAATCAACTTTCGCCATAATGTTCTATCCAGGACCATGCTTCTATCCAAATCGTTAATCTTGAGATCTTTCTTAACTTCTCTTATAGTTTTTCTAGGTCTTCCACTGCCCCTAGTTGTTTGACTCCTCTCCATCCGATCTACTTTCCTTACCAGAGAATCTACAGATCTTCTCTCTACATGTCCAAATCACCGAGTCTATTTTCCAGCATCTTTTCAACTATAGGTGCTACCCCCAACGCTCTCTCTAATATTGTCATTTCTAATCGTATTTTGTATAATCTTACCACACATCCAATTTAAAGGACATTCTTATCCTAAGAAAATCCTGATATGGAGGAATCAACCGAAGAGTCACATAACGATCTTGAGTCTGCAAATGACAGATTGTGTGACTCGAACCTAAAACCGAGGTTACTTTTGTTTATAAATAAAAGGTTTGAGACCTCATCAAGCACATTTACTGCAATTCTCTATAATATCAAGAATCTTGATGGAAGATTAAAACTTTGATCGTAACTAAAAATCACAATGTAACAACTCGAACTATTGAAACAAGTCTAATTAACTTTAAAGCAAAGCAAATAAAAGAAAATGGTACCTGGAACAAACCTTGCACGTTGCAACGTAACACCAAAAACGGAAGGACTATAATTGGAAGCATTATAATAGAAATTCACAATCACCATCTTAACAAACTCATAGTAAAGCGGCGAAACCTCCAAATCATCCTCCACAACAAAAGCAAACTCATCATCCGAACCCGGCCACCACGCCTCCAACCACTGTGCCTGCAACCCCACATTCCCAGTTCTATAATGCACAACCTTTTCTCCAAATCTCCACTCAAACCCATCCACAAACTCCAAAATCCTACGCGATTCACTCAGTTTCAAATCAACAGAAGAAGTATTATCTGAAACAGCGAAATGATCAATGTAGACGTGGAGGTGCACGCGATCGCCGAGGTAATTGGCATCAGCGAGGGAGCGGAGGCAGCGGGAGACGGATTCAAGGCGGTTGAAGGCGAGGAGTTTGATTAGGAAAGTGAAATTGGGGGAATTGGGGTTAGGGTTTTTGTGAAGTGGGGTTCGGAGGGTGAAATTAGGGTTTGGATCGGAGAGAGAAGATGGGATGGAAGTGTAGAAGATGATGAATGCGGCGAGGGTGATGAGGAGGAGTAATGGGAGGAACTGTCGTTTGGGTGCCACCATTGGTTTAGGAAGATTTCATGAAGAAAAAATATATTGCACATTTTATCAATCTAAAATTAATTATCTTATGCAAGTAAACCCTAACTCAACCAATAAAAACAACTCATATCGGAAGAAAATAAATCTGGAATAAGGGTGTTCAAATCCAAACCAATTCAAATAAAAAATCGAAAATCGATCTAAAAAATCGAAAATTGTAAAAAATTGAAATTTATTCAATGTGTTGAATGTTATTTTATGAAAACCGATCGGTTCGGATAGGATTTCGGATGAATTTTTCAAAATCGATCAAAATCAAACCAAACCGCATACATATATTTTTATACTTATTTACTTTTTATTAGTATGATATGTTATGTGAATTTATTATTAGATGATAATAATTTTTTAATAATATTTATTAACTTGGTATAATCTATTTATTTTTATTATTTCAATCATAATCGATCACTCTCATTTTGTAATATTAACTTTTAATATACTATATGTTATATATTATATCAAATCTATGATTTATTAGTAGTTTTATAATATTAATAAAATTATAATGTAGAATTTGGATATCCAAAAACCGATCTAAATTAAACCGCATAAAATTAGATTGGATCGGATTAGATTTTTTTTAATATATCATCTAAAACTGAACCGAACCGCGAGTGAATTTATTTTTGGATCGGAAGAATTTTTGCTTTAAAACTGATCCAGACCGAACCGCGAACACCCCTAGTCTGGAGTTCGTTTAGCATGTTGTAGCATACTATTAGAAGTTTTGACCCAAAATGGCATAGGCTGTTTTTTTTAGTCTATTTAGCCAGTTCAATCGGCTAAGTCACCTTAGTCCACTAAGTCGGTTCAGCCCGTTTAGTAGGGTTTAGACAGTTTAACGTGTATTTTAGGTGGCAGTCCGTTTAGCGGGGTCTGCTGTTTTCAATTTTGTATAAATAGATTTTTCATTTTATTTTTAGGTTATGTTTTAGAGAATTTTTGCCAATCATTCTTCGATAGAGGGAGCTAGAAAACAATAATGGAGCTTGCATATGGATGATCCAGATACGTAGTTCTCATCAGTCGGCGTTGACAACCCGTAAGATATTTGGTTTTCCTTCATTTCTTCTCTATGTATTTCTCTATTTGTTGGGTTTGTTTGTACTCTTACTCTGAACATATGTACATTTACCACTCATGGTGTTGTATAAAACTTGCTTTACAATTCAAGCTTGTTGCTTTCCTTAATCTTTTTATATTTATGTTTGGATTTGTGTTGTTGTAGACATAGACCTCACAAATCTTGATTAGGGAAGGAAATCTAGTAGTTTCTAGATTCTATAGATAGATTTAGAGTTAATAATCACTTGTGAAATTCTGGTATATACAACACATACAAACAAAATTGTCTTAACAGTAGATGAGGTCGAGACAAATGTTACAACATCTGATATTAAACCAGATCAATCAAGCTGAATATGATACAGAAAACAAAATTGCAGAATGATAAATAATACAATGAGTTGTTAATCCAGTTCGATGTAACATCACCTACTATGGAGGCTTCCAAGCCAAGAAGGAAATCTACTATAAGTAGTATTAATTCAAAGCTAAACTCCCTCGTTTACAACTTCTTGCCTAATCCCTACCCAATGCAACTTCTACCTAGGTCTTCCATAAATATGAGAAATCATCGTCTCACTTCCTAGATCACCTCAGTGATATCAAACAGTCACAATCCCAATAATTACAACAAATACAATCCAATTTAGAAGATCATACTTCCATTATAATAACTCAAACTCTTGCTTAAAAGGTTCGAGTGAGAATAATACTTAACCCATTGCCTAAAGGCTTCTGAATGAAGACAATAACTTGAATAACAGTCAAGCAACAATCAGTCGACCACATAGTATCAAAAGATACATGGGTGACTTGCAAACTACACAAGAGACTCTCAAAACCTAATACTTATGCTTCCCCTAATTTTACAATTATTGAAAACTTAAATTACATTAGGTTATAATTCTCCTTTAAATACAACTCTACAGTCCATGAGCTTTGATATCCTGAGTCTAGAGGTTTCTTGATCCATAAGTTAAGTGATGCACCAATTGTATAGCAAATCTCCTTAAATCTTGGAACAACGAATAGATAGTTTCCTAATTTGTCTCAAGGCCTAATTTAGTAACTTTTGCACAGCTGAAGATACAAATTTTTTCCAAAACAAATCTTCTTGACTTGTGAAAATCTTTTATATATATTCAAAGAAAAATATAATAGAATCAAATCAAATCTGCCAAGATTTAAAAACAACAGGGCAAGCCTGCTGCATAACAGAATAGGATATCACGACATCTTGTTCGACATCTGGTCAGAACCATGTTTTAGCAAAATGTTGTCAATCCACAAAACTATGGTACTAACAATCTCCCTCTTTAGCAAATTTTGGCTAAAACAACCAAAGACCAAATAACATGGAAAGAGGAATAAAACCATAGAACACCAACACAGGCTACATGCTAAACATGTAAACCTTGTACATGAGGAAGAAGATAAATGATACTCTTCCTCAAACACAGAACTCCAACACCACCATGAACTCTCCGGGTGAAAACTGACAGGACCAGACCTCAACTCCGGATAACTCAGAGCACAGGACACAACCATGCTCATAACTCAGAGCACAAGACACAACAGAAAATACAAAGACTCAAACATAGACTACAGACTCATACAAGATGTTAGAACAGCCTATTAAATATCCTTGCAAAACAACTACACGAAGAGACTCAAGTCTCACATGATGGATAGTCATGCTCTCCCTAAAATGTTGCATACAATAAGCAACAACACTTGAGTCAGACCTAGATCTACTAATACTTTTCTCCCTATTTTTAGCCAAAAACTGATAAAAACAGGTTGAAAAGAACTTGACAAAGAAAGGAATCAAAACAGACAAGAATTGATTCAAGACACAAAAATAAAAAACTGACTCAATAAAAACACAAACTGGATTAAGGGGAAAAAAACTCCCTTAACCAGGACAGACCAAGAAAAAATCCCATAGAAACAAAGAGTGGGTCTAAAATTCTCCCAAAAAATAAGACTCGAAACTTGATGCAGGACTAGAAGCATCAACTTGACTTAAGGGAAACCAACTCCCCAAAGCATAACTGGCTCAAAAACATAAAAATATACCAGTTTTATGTTTTTTTAAATATATACAAAATAGAAATCACTAGTTATCCAATTCTCCCTCCTGAGTCAATGAAATTGACCCAGTCTTCATCAGCATCTAAATCTGAATCATGCAAATGAACTTGATTCTTCTTCAAGGATTTCATCTCTGTCACAGATTTTCTCCCTATTCAGGATACTCCCGTTGATGTTATGACATTTGTTGTAACATTGAACTCAACCTTCTTAGGATCACTGCCCTTATTCTTGTAGGATTCCAGTATATGAACCTTCTTGACACTAGTATCTTTGGAAGATTTACTCATGTTGAAACACAGTATATAAGAAATTTGAGGAAGCAAAGCATATAAATACAAGGTGAGTTACTTTGATTGTAACGAAAACCCTACTTGTAATGATAAATCAGTCAATGAAAATCTTATTAGAAGGAGATAAAATCTTCTTTATAAACAGTCTGTCACTCAATGAGAGAGAGACACGCCCTTGTTCAAACTTCCCTCTTTTTAAGACTTTGACTGCTGAAAATGTTACAACATTTGGAATAATATTTTTCATGCCATTGAACATGTTTCTTATGAGACTTCACAAAACACAAGGAGGAATATAGTTGGCAACCCCGACCAAATAGTTACTACCAAAAATTATCCCACGGTGCAATTTCAAAATTACCCCTTATATACTCAAAATAACTTGCACCTCAAGTTATGATAAAATTCTTCCCAAAGCTCCTTAGCCAGACCAAGCATAGGAGTGCTAATATTCTGTAGCAAGATCCCTGACATAATGATGACAAACCCAATGACTTTATTCTACAAGCAGAATAAAATCCTTTACCTTAATTGCAGTAGAATGTTACACTATAATGTCATGACATTCGGTTTAGCCATTGTATTCTTGTAGTGGCCAACCCAATATATAAAACATTTTTCTTCAGCAATCTACCTAATCTTCAAGAAATACTAGGACTCAATTAATTCTAATCTCAGAGATCAAAATATCCTCCAATGATACAATCTTCTTCAGACTTGGCCAAGTTTTTTACTCCAAGCATCACCATTATTATCTATTTCATTTGTGAAACAACTAATGATCATAGACTAAAATAACCTCTAAAAAATAAGCTCCCTCTTAAAAAATTTGTTTTCTTGAGAACTTTGTTATTCGATGCCAGCTAGCCTTTTGAAATTTTCTTCGATCTCTAGAGTATCAAACTACTGAAATGATGTTACAACATCTGATTGAACATCACCAAAAATACCTCTCTCAATAGAATAACTCGGAAACATACTCTGTTCTCATGAAAGGAGTAGATAAGACCCTTTGAAGACTTTACAAATAATAGATTCACAAAAGAAAACCATATATATCCTTTTATCCACGAGGACCTTCACCTTGCATTGAACTAATCTGATCCATAGAACAGGTTCTAGAGCTTTCGCAATTGTCTAATGTTGACTTCTTCTTTCTTGAACACCAAGTAAAATGATAAACAACTAAATACTTGTGAGATTCCATAAATATCAATTGTTCTTAAATCCTTGGAGGAACTTCATACACCCCATTAGTAACAGAATATTCTTCCTTGACGGCATATACTTTAAGACTTTGATAACTCAATCATCAGTCCCTAAGTAAGAAAAAATCAATTACCAAAACTTAGAGAATCCATCATGAATTCTTTAGTAATCCAATGTCCTTAGACTTCCTTTTTAGCATCATCCACAAAGTAACATTTGATTAGAATGAGACTTGAATAAACACCAGGAACACTTTTACTGCAGTTAAGTATCTAGAACAGTTAGTGTTAAAATACC